GCTTCGAGCTGGCGGCCTCCGAAGAATGCGGCTCAAACTGAGTTTGCTTTGCGAGATCTCGCAAAAGTTTTTGCGAGATCTCGCAAAAGTCCGTCTTAATTTTTTTCTCTCCCATGTCCCCTGCGGGGCTCCGTACCAAAGCGATTTTAAGAAAATGAACGAAAATGTGTAGATTGAGTTGAAAGGGTTCTCATGTTTTGTCATTTTTCCAATCTCGTCATGTAGGAACGTGTTGGGTACCCGAACGCGTAAAATGTTGACGATTTGTCACCTAGCGAAAAATATTATGCTTAGGGAGTGAGAACGTGTTGAAATAAAGCCCAACAGTGCTGCTAGCATTGATGTCGACTGGTCATCTTTCTTTGCCTCTCATTCAGTTTATTGCGTTATGAAGTTATAAGCTTTAAGAGTTGCCCCTTTGTCTGTCAGTCAGTGAGATTATGCTGAGATTATTAGTCCTGAGCAAAATTTGTTAAATTTGTTGCAAAGAAGGAACTTATAGGCAAAGGAAGAGCAAAGTAAAGTAAATCTGTGTCCTCAGGCCAAGAAAACTACATTTCAGAATGAAAAACTACAATCACACAGTTCACAGTATGTGTGTAAGTCTATGACACGATGCTGCTCAACAAGCTGTAACCACTGCCTTGTGCCCTGCAGGGTTAGTGCTGCCATGGATGGAAAACGAATTAGCGAGAATTAGCAAGAAATACTCCCCTTTCCATTACCCAAGCAGACAACTGACTCCGAGAGGGATTGTGGTTTGAACTGAGGGAAAAGAGGAAAAAAAAAAAGTCTTTATTGGAGCAAATGACTGCTGACGGTCAGACCACATACTGCAGAGAACTTGCCAAGAGGCAAAAACGTCCTCAAAGGCAGTTTCAGAGAAAGATTTACTGTTGCATCATATATAAAGAGAAATATGGCTTATAAAATAAGTTTGTAATTTACTTCAAATATTTTGTTAAAAAGAAAATGAGTAGTTAATCATTAGCTCACACAAATAGACCATTCGGGCTTGCCTGCCGCAGGGTATTCATTTTCCTCCCATTTAGATGAAGCTGCTTTCTGCTGGAAAGTACAGCTTGAGGTTTTTTGCCGAGAGGCAGGTTCTCCTTCAAGCAAGAATCATGCTAAAGAAAAAGTGTAACGTGTTCTCTGAAGTTTCATTCTGATGAAATAATCTGTATTTTCCCAGTCTGGTCCGCAATCTTAACCAGCCAAAATCATTATCGTTTGGCTGTTTACACTTCAAACACATAGATTTTACAATGTGGACAACAACTGAAACAACACAAAGCAGATGGAAGAGTTTAAAGTGGGTTAGTTGACCTAAAGGTCTCATACAGCTGGCGTCCTTCCCCAAATTATATCCATTATGTAACTGCGGTTTGTGGTGAGGGGAGCTGCAAGGTAAGCTGAGGCTGCACTGGCCAAATAAAACAGTCATGAAACAGTAACCTATGAGTGTATGAATTGAGACCAGTCAATCACCCAGACGCCCACAGGCTCATTATTCAGTAATACAATAGCAGATTAGTCTAATAGAATCAGTTCACATCTATTTAATAGCTGGCCTTGGTATTTTTAAGCAGAAGAAATAAATAAATAGTGTGGATGAGCATTAGACAAAAAGCATTAGTTTGCACTTTATCTTGTTTTCAGAGGCAAAACACAGGCAGCAGTAACAGTTACTATAATAGCTAAACTCTATTCTCTATTTGGGGTGAAAGAAGAAAAACACTTAATGTGTCCCATCCATCCATCCATTCGCTTCTGCTTATCCTTTTCAGGGTCGCGGGGGGCTGGAGCCTATCCCAGCTGTCATAGGGCGAGAGGCGGGGTACACCCTGGACAGGTCGCCAGTCTGTCGCAGGGCCAACACACAGGGACAGACAACCATTCGCACTCACATTCACTTGCACATTCACACCTAGTGGCAATTTGGATTATCCAATTAACCTATCCCCACAAGCTGCATGTCTTTGGACGGTGGGAGGAAGCCGGAGTACCCAGAGGGAACCCACGCAAACACGGGGAGAACATACTCCACACAGAAAGACCCCGGCCTCATGGTGGAATTGAACTCAGGACCTTCTTGCTGTGCGGCAACAGTGCTAACCACCGTGCCACCGTGCTGCCACACTTAATGTGTAACATGTTCAATTTTAAAATACACTGTGTTATGAACATAAACAGCTGTTGTTGTGAACTAGCATGGTGCTAGCATGATGCTTTAT